GCTACTAGGAACAAAGGGCATCGCTACTAGGAGCAAGGACGCTACTAGGGGCTCCTGACTAGGAACAAGGGCATCGCTACTAGGAGCAAGGACGCTACGAGGACGCTACTAGGGGCTCCTGGCCTTACTACTAGGAACAAGGACGCTACTAGGAACAAAGGGCATCGCTACTAGGAGCAAGGACGCTACTAGGGGCTCCTGGCCTTACTACTAGGAACAAGGACGCTACTAGGAACAAGGCGCACCGTGGCACCATGGCAAGCAGAAAGCTGTCCTGGACGGGTCGGGACTGTTCTTCCAAGCCTCGATGCAGGAAGCCTCATCGACTTTGAAGTATTCACCTGCAAGGCACCACATTCTTTCATACACTTTGAAGTATTCACCAAGGAGTACAACCCAGCTCCTAACATCACAACCTGGCATCTTCCAGCAGCCGAAGACTAGAAAGACTGGAAGACCTGATATTCTGAGCTAGTCACGGAGGTTCAATGCCCCGAGAACGTGCTGGCGAATTCCACCAACAACGCGTTCAAGATCTCCGTGGTTCTGCATTGCGCCACGGAACAAACACAGATTTTGCTGAACGGAAGAAGGACCACCGCGTCCTGAATGTTGGGACCGCCGAACTTCCCATTCTTGAGCTCGCCAGAGAACCACGCCTCACAACTTTTAACATGGTTCTGGCAGTCGCCTTTAAATGACGGTTCAAGCACAACTAAGTCCACAAACAAATTTAAGAAGCAGGCTAGCTTCAGATCAAGCTCTGCTGCTGCAGCCAAATGTGGGCAATTTCGCACCTGACTTCTGAACCACCACCAACATGCTTTTGTTTATCGATGGTACTAGTACTGATGCCGACTGATACAACAAGCTACCAAGTAAGAGTTGATCAGCTATGGCTCCGAGCAAAACACTTGTTCGACAACAGGAAGGCACAGCTCGTCGTGATGATGGTGAAAAAGGCGCACTCAGGGAGCAAGCAGTGCGCTGCCTTTGCGCAGCTCATCCTCTGCGGCCTTTCTTGCCGCCGCGACTTCTCTGCGACCTGTCTGGGGGCAAAGAAGGCATCTGCGAAGGCAATTAAAGGCAAACTCCAATCACATGGTTTGAAGCTTGAAGTTTGAAGGTGTTCGGTTAGGATCATTCTCATGATTCTAAGTTGCAGACTGTGGTTCATCTGATGCTTCCAAACTCTTCAAAGCCCTTTCAGCATTCTCAAGGCGTTGCTCCAACTCTTTGTCCTTCCCACCAAACTCCGATTTGAATTCTCGCTCACTCGAGAACTGCTCGTGGGCTTGATCAGCTGCAATCTTCCAATGAGCGGCATCTGCACCTCCTTCACCCAAGCTGCGAAGTCTCTCGCTTTCCAGCAAGTCACGGCGGCGCTGAGCCTCCTCACTCAACGACACCTCAGCAGCAGCCAATTTCTCTCGGAATTGACTGGCTTGTGATTCCATCTTATCGACTTTTTCCTCTGCGGTCTGCATTTGCTTCCGCAAGTTGTTCACCTCCTCTTCGCGCGCGGCATCCAGGGAAGCTTTCTGCTGCTGGGCGGCTTCATGCGCTCTCCTCTCGGCTTCCTCCAACCGCTTGCGAAGCTCTTCCGCCCTGGCATCAGCTGCTTTCCTATTGGACTCCGCTTCACGCTGGAGTTGCCGCACGTCCTCAAGCTCTCGATCTCTTGCCTTCTCCAATTTCTGCATTTTGCTTCCCTCATCTGCTGCTTGCGCTGCCTGCATCTCTGTCATGAGCTTCTCCTTGAGCCTTTGAGCTTTGGCCTCTGCAAGCTCCTCCTGAATTTCAGCCGACTCACAGCGGCTTTGCATGCCTCGAAGCTCAACCACCGCCTGCGCATGCTTGCTTTCGATCGACTTTGAGGATTCAACAGCATCATCACTCCTCTTCTGTGCCGATGCAAGCATCTCCCGCAACTCACTCAAATGTCCTTCAGCCTCAGCTCTGTTGCGATCACTCGCCTCCCTGTTCCGCTTCAGCTCCTCCAGTTCGGCGACGTAGTGCGCGTCTTGCTTCTGCCTCTCCTCCAAAAGCTCTCTGTCTGCAGATTGGAGCTTTCGAGCCTCGTCCAAGGCTTCCTTCAGGTGGTCCAGCTCCTCACTTTTTGCTGTTTGAGAATCTTCCAGCTGCTTGTTCAAAGAATTGGCCTGTCCTTTTGCATGGTCCCGTTGTTCCTCTGCTCTCACAATCTGGCGCTTTAGGCTTGTAATTTCCTCTTGGTGCTTAGCACTCAGCTTCTCAGTCTCTTCCGCAGCACGTGCATCTATTGCAGCTTCTGCTGCAGCCAGCTGCTCGTGCAACTCTACTGCCTTAGCATGGGCCTCCTTCTGCTGTGTGTCTGCAACATCTGTCAAATGGCGAAGCTTCTGTATCTCTTCGGCATGAGCTTTCTCCAACTCAGCACGTTTTCTTTGAACTGCCTCTTCCGCAGCTTGGTCTGCGTAGTCGAGAAGCTCTCGAAGTTCTTTGGCCTTTTCCTCTGCTTCCAAACGTTTGCGTTCTGCAGCTTCTTCACGTTCCTTGAGCTTCTGCATTTCCTCTTCATGAGCGGCATCTGTCAAGCTCTTCTGCTCCTTGGCAGCCGCGAGTGCAGTTTTCTGCTCCTCGGACTCTGCTGTGAGGGTGTCACACTGCTTTTGAAGGTCTATGATCTCGCGCAGTGCCTCCTCCTGAATTTCTTCTTGCTCCTTCATAGTTGCCTCAGCGTCTGCCAAACGCTCTCGCAGAACCACAGGCCATCGGAGGGCCGTGACCAGCTGCCGAATCAGTTCAGCCACATCAGAATCAATGTCAGGTTTTGACTGCTGCACGGCTTGCACTGCCTCTCGCAACTGTGCTGCACTGTCATCTTCTGTCCACAAATCTGAGTGCTGTTCCAAAAGTTCATCTGCAAAGTCCATTGCATCTTGCAAGAGTGCAGTGGCTGCCGGGTCAGATCCTCGTGACTCCAACTTCCACTCCAGCATCTCGATCTTCTCAGCCCTGGCCTCAGCCTCTTCCAAAGTGTCATGGAGAACCTCTTCAAGCTGATGTATTCGAAGCTCACGCTCCTTCCCTGCTTCAATGGTGTCCTCAAGCTCTTTTATCCTGGCCGATCGCTCATAAGCAGCTCTCAGCGCTGTTGCAACCCTATCCTCCAACTCCTGCACTTTCTCATGGGAGCCCTCAAAAGCCAGTTCAGAGCTGACACCCGCAGCAAAGCCCAAAGCTTCACCCCAGAACTCCGCTTCGTCCACGTTTTCAAACCAGAGTGTAACTGCAGAGTCACTCCACTGCAAAATCACCACAGCACCTTGCTGAGTGACTTCAGCACCAGTCACATTGAAGGTCTCTTGAGGCTCACCTGGAGTCGAATTCAACAACACCTGGTCGGTGAACAATGCAAAAAGCCGTTGCTCACCACATCGCTCTCGCCCGAAGCAACGCACCAAGGGCGCATCTTGGTCAACAAATGGGACAGCCCCGTCTTCGCTGCAAGTTCTTCGCTGTGGCCTTTTCCAACCCAAAGCGATTTCCAAAGTCTCAGCCGCTTTTGGAGATGTCTTGACATAGGCTGCGCCCCCTGCAGCCAACCCTAGCGCTCCAAGCGTAACCAAGACCATGGCCACAAAGAATGTCTACATCCACGGCTGGAGACCAGCAATCTTTAGCTCAAAGTCTGAACTGAATCAAGTGAATGAAATTGCAACGATTTTGACTCGCATGACAACTGAGTGTGTGTGTGTGTGTGCGTGATTTGATACAAACCCGCACAGCTGGGCTTGAGTGGGAGGCCAGGCAAATCGGCTTACGACAAAGGCCCTAGCTAAGTCTGTTGAAGAATGAACTGAATTGAAGCTGGATTATATAGGTATTAAATGGGAGTGCCAGTCTTCAGCGCAACCAAGTTGCATTGTATGCAGACTCTGGCTGTTCCAAAAGCCAAGGTGCACTTCCTGACAGGTCGGCCCCGCGTTCTGTGACTGGAGGGGTGGTACAGCAGCTGGAGGCTAAATGAGGCCAAACACATAGTGCTGGAGTGAAATTGCTCAAGAGACGAACACAAAGTTAATGCCTGCGCAGTGGTTAAGCACAATGTCCATGGCAGACAGCAGGCCAGCATCTTGCAACTTCTCCTCAGCATTTGCAAAATATCATTGTCATTTGGCAGAATCGCAAGCTGATCGTTCGAGCAAACTTTTTGTTGCCGTGTGTCCACAGATTGCTGCACAACTTTCCACCTGCATGGCTTGAAGTCGTTCAGAAACACTGAAGTTCACTGCTGAGTTGGTTTTCAACTTGCAGGCCTGCCCTCTTTGTCTGGCGGTGGTGACTCCATCAGGGTTGCGTCGATATCTCCCTCACCAAATCCCAAAGGATCGGGAAAAAATAGCGAGCAAAGTGGCGAAGCAGTCGTGTTTCATGCACTCTCCTGGTCATCCAAGGCGTAGCAACTCCCACTTTCTCCTCACGACAGCGGGTCAACCTCTTCTTTGGAACGGGGGGCAAATCCAGAGTCTAGAAATGAGACACAAACACACACAGTCACACACCCTTGCCTGGTGGCTGAATAGGTGTGAAATGGATCATGTTGTATCCCAAAGTGGCCTGTGGTCCAGGCACAAGGTGGCATGAGCCACGGTGGCATGCAACCTATGCATTTCCATTTGTGCTCCAAAGCTCCGGAATAGGCAATGGCAATGTTCTCTGTTCTGTTCTCTGTTCTGTTCTGCTCTGCTGTGCTCTGCTCTGCTCTGTGCTGTGCTGTTCTGTTCTCTGTTGTTTGTTGTCTGTGTTCTCTTTTATCTGTTCTCTGTTTCTCTGTTATGTTCTGTTATGTTATGTATGCATGCATGGATAGGCGTGGGCCTGCGGCAAAAGCGTTTCAGGCCATCTCTCGATAGGCCCTGCCAAGCGCGACAAAACAGTGAGCTGAGTCACCTCAGAGGTCAACTCCCGCTGAGGAACTGGGTTTCATGGAGTTTGCGCCCTTTCCAAGTGTCCGTGCTCTGCATGGCATGGCTGATTTCAACAAACTGCTTGATCTAAGGTCAGGCACAGAACGCGCCGGAAGGTGACTGCCCTGCACACCTAACACTTCAGAAGCACTGCATCTCTTCAGCAGGCTTCTGCAAAGAGAATCTGTTCCACTCGCCATGGGTTACGATGTCCAACAATGAATTGGAAAATGCCGAGGGGCGCAACACCGGTTCCACCTCAATGCATCAGCATGCCGCATGCCCCTTCAATCATTCACACATTACCACCTAGTATGGTAATAAAAAAGCACTAAGTTGTTCAAATCATTGAGCCCATGACCACCAGCTGGAAGGCTGGCCCCGCAACTGTTTCTGCTTCAGTCCCTTCTGCACTTTCATACTGCACATACAGCTCATAGGGGCCAGGCCTGGCAAAGTGTTCCGGAACAATCTCTCACTGCCAAAAATGCAACAACAAATTGCCTTTCTGGGCACCATTCCACTATCCAGTCTGCAGTTGCTGTGGCTTGCATGTCGCCTGTTCAAAAAGAACTGAGAAACAAAACCAACGTAGCAGCTGGTCATTTGGAAATGGTTAAATCTCTCAGCGCACCTTCGATCAAAAATACTTCACCCAGTTCATCTTGAATCACCAGGCTGGGCGCACTCCACAACATGGGGGCGCTCCCAGCTGAGAGGGCCACATGCACCTTGGAACAAATGAAACCAAATGTCCCCAAAGAGCCACTCGGAGTCTAGAATCCAAAACGATTGTAAGTCCAAGACTGTATCGCCACATGAAATTCGCAACACTCCTTCCTGAGCTGGCGCAACGTGAAACGACAATTGTGGTTTCATGCTTAATTATGTACTTACAACGTTTTCCCTCGACTTGTCATTGGCAGAGCGTCATTGTCACCGGGCAATCGTGGAAGTTCTCCACAATCGCCGAGTTCCAGCCGCCATTTGGTCGAGCACGCTTGGGCCTGACCAAACAAAACACCATTGGGCCGGCAAAAACATTGTTCACTGTTCATTGTGCACCCCCTCCATCAAATGTGCAATCAACACATCCGTTGGCAAACGCCTGAGGTGTGTCCATTGCAGCAAGGGCGAATGTGGTTCACTTTGCTGAAACGCTGCGCCACAAATCCGAATTGCTCAATTCAACCCACTGGTTTGTTGTCACTAGTGTTTCTGTTGCAATCACACGGTTCAACATGCGTACACGGAAGCATGTGCAGCTTGGATCATGCTCAACAACAACAACAACAACAACGTTCACAAGCACTCGGACGGGCTAGCCTTGGATGACACCCACTGCCGAGCAAAAAGAATCGAAATTGTTTTTCTCTGGTGGGTTCGTGTTGCGTGCCCTTTGCCTTTTGCTGTGGCAAACCCAACATCAACTTGAAGCTGGCAACCTCCAACCATAGCCAAATTACAAACAATCAATGCTGATTTCACGACCAATCACAACCATGGTTTGGAACCTGCGCTCTTCGGAAAAGGGACGGAACCTCAAGGAGCAAGATGGTTACCCCCAGCGACAAAGCTTTGACTTACCACAGTCATGCGCCTCTCAAAACCAACCACCAGTTCACAGCCAACCACACACCTTAATTGCTAGCCATCCAGAACCGTGTGTCCAAGCCTTGCAGTCAAAGGCAACCTTTGGATTTTTCAGGCAGGGGACAGCGTTCTTTGATGCTATACTTTGTCGAAAAGACTACGCATCAGAAGGCAGCACCCACTGGTCACGGATGCGCACTTACTGTTTGAAGCGGTTCCTTTCTTTGTTTGGCTCCTAAAGTTCCTGCCCACTGCCGCTAGCCGCTATGAGCCATCCCTGCGTCCGGTTTGTTGGCACAGGATGCTTTCCAGTTTTCCATCCTGTGGTCTTGCTTGCCTGTCCTACAAAAATGATATATAATTTTCGCCCGGTTTTTTCTCGCGGATGCATGCTCTCCTTCCTGGGGGCTCAGACGGTGAAATGGTGGGGTGAGACCGAGTGAGACCAACGCGGCTCACCGAGCACAAATCCAGGGCCACCGGGCGGCCCAATTCCAGGCCAGAACCAAAGAACATCTGAACATGTTTTCATGGGGGAAGTTGATTGGGATGTGTGGCTGGGCCCTGACACAACATACGGGCACTTTTATTCCAGAGTCCAGCTCCTTCGGCGTCTTCGATTCCCATTGCCTCGACGGAACGCACGTGCAGCTGCCACACTCTAGACCACCTTGGCGGCCACCGTGCATGCAGCCTGCGCCTAGACAGGGGTACTCCGGACACCGCCAATCACCCGAAGGAACTATCACTGCACGGTGGTCAGCGCTTCGTCCCTTTCACAGACGGCTGTTTAAACACAGATGGCCCCCGCCCACAGGACAACTGCTAACCCAGTGCTCGGTTGGCAAATGGCCCGGGTTGGGGGTCAAGCATGGCTCGGTCTGCGTTTCCCAAGGGCCCCCAGGTGTTTTACAACGCGGCCCTGGCTTCTGTGAATCAAGGCGCGGTTGCTGCCTGCTGCTGTTGGAGCCGTGCCGCGCACATGGCGGTGGCCTGGAATTGGCCAAAGCCCCGCAAGCTGCCGGGTCCCGCGCGTGCTGTTGAAGGTGTGCCCTGGCTTGCTGTGCGGCTTGGATGTGGGGTGTAGGGATGGGCTGAGCAGCCAGCTGTTCAAAGAGGAGGGTTGGCAGTGCGGGCGGTTGGTGTTGTACCACTGGCAGCGCACCGGCCCAAGAGGGCCAGAATGCCGGTGTAGCTGTGAGTGTCGCTGGTGTAAGGCCAAGGCCGCTCCCCGCTTTCCCAGGTAGCACTGGAGCAAGGTTCCTAGGGCGGTTACTGCAATGTAGCCAGTTCGTTGCATCAGCGTGGAGGGTGCCCAGGGCAAGTGTACGGCAATACTCTTGGAAGGTGCGCACTGGCTTCCGGGAGCTGGGCGGCGAAGTTGGCCGCAGCAGGTTGAAGCGACGTGCCGGCATCGGCCATGAAAGTCCGCAGGGTGGAAACGGCATGGTGCCACGGGACCAGGGGCGCTGCCCGTTTATCAGAACGCGGGTGCTCTTGCCACGCGGTGTCGGTTTGCTTCCAACCGCTGGTCCGACTGCCTTTGTTGGACCAATTCGGATGTTTTGCTGTGACAAAATGGGACCTAAATTTTCTGTTTTTTCCTCACGCCATTTTGCCGCAGTAGTCCACCGTGCGAATGGCTAAATCAGACTGCCTGGGCTGCTGGTGGGGATTAAGGCGCGACGAGGCGGCTGGGTTGGGGGGGCTGGCATGTGTGGCAAAATCATGGCTCCTGCCTTGTGTAGGGGTAATGTGGGTGGACGCGCAATCATGCCAGAACAACGGAAACATCTTAGTTGGCAAATCCGAAAATTGCACCGCTCGGAACTGAAAAAACGGAGAGCAACGCGGCTCGCCACGTATTTGCACTTACGGAGGCAATTGTCCTCACCTTTCGCCCGGCAGATGGTTCAACAACCGCTCGCTGACGAATTTGCTGATCTCTTTGAATTGGATTTCGTTGGCCCGGTCCACGAAAGAGCAATGCCAGAACATTTGGGTGCAGTGGAATTTACATTGCAAGAGTTGCAGCGAGCGATCGGTCGGTTGAAAGTGAACAAGGCCCCCGACACTGTCGGCATTGCAGTGGAACTTATCCCGGATGATTTTCTTGCCGTGCCTTTTGGATATGTACAATTTCGTGTTGTTCAATGGTTCGGTGCCACCAGTGTGGAAAGAAACGGTATTTGGAATGTTGCCACAGAAAATGCGTGCCGTTCAGACATCAGATTTCCGACCTCTTGCAAACACAAGATTGTTTTACGAGAACACTTTGGATCTTCATCAGCCAGAGGCGCAGCACGGCTTTCGTCCAAACTTCGCCTGGAGGAACATTTGGTGTCTGCAACCATGTTTTTGGATAAGGGATGGGCATCTGGCAAAACAATTTGGGTTGTTAGCTTGGATCTGTCCAAACACGTGCATTGGCCCGCCTTATGGGCAGCACTGGAAACACAAGGCGTTTCTCAACATTTGATTTGGCTATTGCACCAACTACGAAAATCAAACTGGGGAAGTGAAAGCCGAGAGTGGCCGGAGCCGCGCATTTTCAATTTCATTCAATTTCAGCAGGTGTGCGACAAGGGTGTGTCTTAAGCCCGCGTTTGTTCAGTGCAGTCTTGCAAGAAGCAATGGAAATCTGGCGTTGTGCTGTGGGTGGGCATGGGTTTGATGTAGGCGATGGCATGGCGTAAGATTTTGCAGATGACATTGTGTTGTTCGCCGCGTCAGCGAGTGAGACCGAATTGATTTTGGAAAAATTGATCGAGGCGCTGGCCGAGGTTGGCTTGGTATTGAATCCTGATAAAACCGTGGTCCTGACCAATGAAGCACAACCTTCTCAACAATTGATTTTGCCAACTGGCCCTTCTTTCCAAATCATTCAGCCGGAAGAAGGCCACAAATGGCTCGGGTGCATGCTGACAGCACGCGGTTCCGCAGGTCAAAATGTGGACATGGAGTGTCATTTGCAACAAGCAACGAAAGTTTTCTGGGCCAACAGGCTTGGTGACCGTTTGAAATACTTCGACGCGTGTGTTTCCAGTGTCGCATGCTTTGCTTCAAGACACCGAACAATCCACAAAAAACAGCTGCAAACTTTGGACGCTCTGTTCGGAAAAACTTTGCCGAAACATGGTGTTACCACCTTCGGGTACGGACTGGTCACTGGAGTGGCACGAGGTTCTTCACGCTTGGAACGAGAGGGCGCGTATGTTCATCGCACCGTCACAAATCCAAACTTGGGCCGCCCGGTGGTGCAACCAATACTGGGCCCTTGCACGGCATACCTCCCTCGTGTTTCCAAACCGTTGGGTCCGACGAATTTTGGTTTGGAACCCGGTTTGGCGACGTAGAGTTGGACGACCGAGGGAAGTTTGGCACAGTAAGTTGGAAAATGTTTGCCGATACAAAGGCTTGGGAGATTGGAGGTTTATGGATGTCTCAACCTGGGACCATTACAGGGATGAATTTGTCGATTTCTGCTTGGCCTAACGTTCTGAAATGTTTCTTGCGTAATTTGGTTTCACTTGAGGCGCCGGCGCCCAAAACGGGTAAATCATTCTTGGGTGTGACCCACATGGTTGGAATAGTTTTGGTGAAAAGCATGAGGCTCGTATGTTAGCTATTGTTAATGCCAGCTCTGCACTGCAAACACGCCAAATTCCAAATCGATTTGTGAAGTCTCTGCACACTCCCTTGAAGTCTGTTCTGGGGTAGCCGGAGGTTTTTTGTCCGTGGAATTTCCACGGGTTGTTTTTTGTTTTCCTCTTTGTTCCCGGAAAACTATTCCTGAGGGTTACCCACACTGGGACATTTACCTAAGGGAGCGGCCATGCAAAAAGAAAACCCTGGAAGGAAGCCTTGCAAGCTGTGAAAGCAGCATGCGTGAACATGGCAGACTCGCTGTGGAGCAGTGCGGCCGCGACAGCTTGTCGGAGCAAGGGTGTGGTTTGCTGTGCCCGGTGCTGAGCCAAAAAGCGAAGCAAGGTGCAAGCTTCCTCACTCCACCGGTCGCCGATTTCAATGGCCAGGACAACGGGACGACAGCGGCCTGGACGGACTAACTCGGGACAGACCCGCTCTTTGTTGCGGCGAGCATCATGCAATGCGGCCCCCTCCTTTGTTTTTTGTAAAAGTTTGGGTTCAGCGTAGCCACGTGGACAGCATCCAAGCGCACGCGACAAAACAGCGAAGCGCTAGCAAGGCAATTCCAAGGAGTTCTCTCTGGCCCTCTCGTCGTATTAACAAAAATATATAGGTGGTCTCTGTCCTCATGCTCCTTGGTGAGGTCATGGACGTTGACCGATGCATGTGCATGTTTCCGATCGTTCACTGACAAAAAACCGATGCATGTGCATAGTTCCAATGTCCTTTTCTCAGTGAACCGAACACTTCCGACTGCTCCTGCTTCGGTGGCTCCATTTGCCACTCCCGGTCCACTTGGGTTTGTCGACGCCGTCGCCCTCTTGACACACTTGGTGACCATCGATCAGCGTGTGCACAGTCGGGGCTTTTGCGCAGTCGCGGACGGCCACTCGAACGAGCAGCAACTCGAGTTTGTCGTGA